ACTCGACATCTGTATGCTTGCTTCCCGAAGTTTACGTCCCTTCACCTGAATAGGGGCTGGACTCAACACGCATAGGTCGAAGTCCAAAACTTCAGTCTCTCTTTTAACCTTTCTTCTTCAGCTTTTTATTTTAACTTTAATATCCTCTCATCGATCGAATCAGAAAAACGAAAGAAGAAGAGTTAAATAAAGATAGGGGAGTCAGAGACAGAGAGAAAAAAAGGAAGACAAGAGAGAGGGTGAGATAAAGAGAGGAAGGAGACCGAGGAAGATAGAGGGAGAGAGAGAGAGAGGAAGTAGAGAGAGAAAGCAAACACAGAGAAGGATAGAGGAATAGAAGGGGAAAGAAAGTAGAGGGAAAGAGAGAAAGTAGAGAGAGAGAGACAGAGACACAGGAAGCAGAGAGTGAGGCAGTAGAAAGACAGAGGATGTGGAGAGAGAGAGAGAGAGAGAGAAATACAAAGTAGAAAGAGAGAAAAAAAAAGGTAGAGAGAGAGATAGAGAAAGAAGGAAAGAAAGAAAGAGGAGATGACAAGGCTTACCTGCAGACGGTTGTAGGCTTCATATCGAGAATGCACCTCTTCGGACTCAAAGAGCGAATCCACACTGGCCACGTGTCTTCCACCTCCACGTCCATTCGGCTGATGACCGCTGCTGCTCGCACCCGATGGAGGAGATCTGGATGATCTACCCGGTGCCATCAATTCAACTTAAAAAAAAAAAAATAGGATTGAATTGTGTCAGCACACAGCAAAGCAATTGATTATGCGTTTTTCACAAAATTTCACAAAATATTCAGACTTTTTCCTCGTCGCGCCAAATTCGAAAAGACTCCCCCCGAAGCTGAGCTTGGCACCTGCTGGCACATCATAAATCCAATGAGCGCAGGAAGAAAAAAAAAAAGGAAAAAAAAAGTCGAATGAGTTCAACAATTGAATGAGCTGGTCAAGACACACAAACGGCTTTTTTTTTTTTTTTTTTTTTTTTTGACTCTGAGGTCCTGCTTGTGATTGGTATGCTACTAGTAAAGACAACATTTTTTCATTTTTTATTGTTTTT